TCACTGCATTCTTTGCGAATATTACCAAACAGCACGGTTTCGTTGGCTTCTTTATGTAAATTATGTGCTCGAAACTCTATATAATGGTCAGGATGGTCATACGTCCTACACGGACTTCAGCAAAGCATTCGATAGGGTGAATGAGCTAAGAAGATACGACGTTCGAGGCACTGAAATAGATTCACTCATACCTAATTAGAAGACAATTTCAAGTTAAAGTTGATGGGTAATCTATCACATCTGGGTTCAACTCTCTTTAATATTTTTGAAAACGACTTTGGTGCTAACTTTCAGTCTGAATATCTGCTTTATGCAGATTATTTGAAAATCTTTAGTTTGATAACTAGTGACGGAAACACTCATGTTCTCTAGAGCGATATTGACAAATTATTGAGCTGGTGCCAAAAAAACAAACTATGTTTGAACATCAAAAAGTGTGTAACCGTATCGTACTCACGATAATACTTTCGAACGTCACATTACTATAGCTTGAACAATGAAACAATAAGCGAAGTCGAGCACGCAAAGGGCGTGGGCATCATCATAGACAACAAACTGACTCTCAACTAGCATATTTATAAAATCACATTCATTACTACCTCTCTAGTTCTTCCAATTTTAAATTACAGCACTGTCATTTGATCTTCTTTCACTGACACCACAATAAAGCGTATCGAAAAAAATACAAATGAAATTTTGTAAGAGCTTAGACTACCGCTATGCTATGGGAAACGTGGTTCAATAATTGATATTTACGGCTTTTTCAATGTCAACAATTAATCTAGTCTTAATATTTTTTCTTGGATATTTTTATATTTTTATGTTTAATGGTTTAATTGACGCGCCTGACATCATCAAACGTTTCGAATTCGCACAATCGTTGAGTTTTTCTCGTCGACACAATATATTAAATTATCCTCTTCGATTGAATTTATGTCAGATACGATGATTTTATAATAAATTTCTCTGACTGGAAGTTACACAACTAATTTAGTTTATGACCTTCAATATTTAATGGGACAAAATAGCTTCCGGAAATTGTAATTAAATTCCCTGGGTAATAGATATTTTAGAAAAATATATTTTGCTAAGTTGGTAGGACTGTCCTTAATTACTATGCCTGATCTATCAACCAGTTAGTTTACAGCAGCTGCTTAAATCGGTACGCCTCAGTAGTGCGTTGCGATTTTTACAATGGATAGAAATATCGAACAAAGAATTTGTCTCACATTTTGTATTTCTAACCAAATTTTGTGTGTGGAAGCGTTCCGTTTTATTTACAACTTTCGGGCACTTCTTTGCCACAATGTATGTTGATGAGATACAAATTTGATTGGAATCCGTTTACGATTTCGTCGTACAATTAACCTTAAATTCTTTTGCAATATTTTTAATATAAAGAGTTTTCTCCGGCTTTGATTTTCCAAGTCTTTCCTTACTTGTTGTTTCATGCGGTGCTGTGAGGGTTTCTCATTTATAATAAAGTATATCTATTTTCATTTAAGATATACAATGTATTCCATAGAAATTCGTGAAATGCTGTATCCATTTTAACGGAAAACTTTTGGACAATAATCTTGTAGTACTTTTTGGCTGATGTTACTTGATTTATACTCACGTTCTGCGTCGGTCGACAAAATCGCCCAGCAGAGTCAGTAATTCGAGCAACCATGGTTCGTTTCATTCCGCGTTTACTCTCATTCTCAGACACGCCATTCAGTACGTATCGAAAACGCTTTTGCTGCCGAGGAGCAGTGTTTTGAAGAATGATGATAATCCATAAACCATTGTTAACTCACCGTTACACCCTCCATATTTCTTCAAAAATGAGCCGGCCATAATGTTGCAGTCAATACAAAATGCTATATAGCCATGATCAACCATGAATAATGATAACGTTATAAAATATTCACTGTTTATGTGTCTTCCCTTTTCGATAGTTTCAAAAAATACTCTATGCATTATGTTAAATATCGATTCAATACAACACAATTCTTTACCCAAAGACACATATCGTCATAATAATTCGATTTTATTACAAAGAATAACTACAAACTCCATTTAGAATGATTACTTCTTTGTTAATTTTAGTCGCTCTGCTTTAAATAACTTTCGTAAATATTTGATACTTTTAGTTGTACAGTATATTTGAAACTGAAGGCTAAGTTAGAATATACATATAGTTACAGTTACGAATATGTTACATGTTTTGATTATTTCTAACACTCCTTTTCAACGAAATATGTCATTAGACACTTAAATGTTAACATTTAATTTTAATATATATACGTCATACTAATATATTTCTTATGCTTAATTTTACTAAGGTTCTTGGGCATCATACAGTGATGTGCGATGAAATAAAGCCATACATTTTCTGATGATATTATTGCVCTTAAATTTTTTTTAAGAATCTAACATGCCATGAAMTAATTGTAGTTCAGTACTCACATCGTCTGTGTATATTTTCCCGTTACTTCTGAATTCAACTTCGAGTTCATTTTTAACAAATCAGTGAAAATGTGCTATTAATTGTGCAGG